CACCGAACTCGCTCTGGAAGTCCCAGAAGTCATTGCGACTGGAGGTGGGAAGTGCAGCATTTTATTTAGATTTATTATTAAAGTTCAGACATATCACTTATTTACCTCAGAAGTTTCCCTAAATGAAACGGTGAAAGTAAACATTTCTATAAACTTCTTAATAGAGGAATAAACACATTAAAGGTGTCTGTTTGCCGAAATTCGTATTAAAATCAGTTTTATTTATATTGTGCAGAGTATATTTATAATGTTTTTATGCATTGTATATATTTTGAAAAGGGGAAAAACAATAAATCAATGTGTAAATGCTGTAATGTTTAAATAATTTACTATTTAAAACATGTGAAGGTCACGTGACCATCAGGAAGAATGCAGCATCTCAATTCTCAAAGGACTCGTTCTCTGCCCTCGCAGTCTCCTGAGTTCGTTCTTCTGAGGACACCTGGCAAGACCGCTCTCCACAAGAACACAAGTCTGTTCTCTGCATTCTTGGAATTGAGAAACAGCCCTAGTGTGACCACAGCTTTAGGTAGGGGTTCCAAAACTCAGTCCTGATGGGTATTATGTAAAGTTTCAATCCAACCCCAATCAGATGCACCTGGGCTAGCTAATCAGGCTCTTACTAGCCTTTTTAGAAACATCCATGCACATGTGTTGAGGCAAGTTGGAGCTAAAATCTGCAAAACACCGGCGCTCCAATGAAACTACATTGTGTACATCATTTTTTTATGCAAGTTGAAAAATATTTTTAATAAAAAATCAAAGAGTGATTAAAGTGTTCCCTGTATAATGACTAAAGCTGTTGATAATTTCAGCATAATGTGTTATTATGAAAATTCTGTACAATCAAAGAAGCTGACTACACTGATGTGAATCTCTAATTTGCATCTACATTTTGTTTGTCCTGATGACAGCACATTGATGGTAGATTTCAGAGAAATATTGCTTGCACCTAAACCTCTCTGCTGTTCAAATAGAATGGACAGACCTGATAATATTAGACCTGATTCATACCTGACTCCACCGCATTTATTTTCTAACCCAGTTGAACCTGAACATAAATAGCACTGATGTGCACAGTAGGGGAAAACCCTTGCATTCTGCTGACTGATTTGGCCAGGCATCACTCCATTACTTTCATATTCATTTATTTACTTATTCCATTTTCTTATTTCTGAGCTCAGCTTTCAGTTGTGACCAGTAGACTGAAAATATAATCATTATAGCTTGATAAAAAGTCCTAATAAATCATAGATTTACTAGTATTTTCTAAAACAATATTTACCTCACCTCATCTTTTATCATACAAATAGAAATACATGCATGAACATGTTGAATATTATATCTCTGTTTTGTTTTCTGACAATCAAATCAAATGTCTAAACATTATTTAATAATATATAATAATATAATTTAATAATTGGCAGCTGGAAGGGCATCCACTGCGTAAAACATATGCTGGATAAGTTGGTGGTTCATTCCACTGTGGCAGCCCCAGATTAATAAAGGGACTAAGCCGGGAAAAAAAAGAATGAATGAATAAATAAATAATCTAATAATAATAGTACTTCAGAATATGTGTACAGTATATGAGAGTTCAGATGCAAAAACCTCTAAATGCCTTCAAAATTTTTTTTTTGCTGGTTCAAGCCTCTGCGTTTCTTTGTGGAGTTTGCATGTTCTCCCTCCTTTCGCCGGGTGCTCCGGTTTCCCCCACAGTCCAAAGACATGCGGTACAGGTGAATTGGGTAGGCTAAATTGTCCGTTGTGTGTGTGTGTGTGTGTGTGTGTGTGTGTGTGTGTGTGTAAATAAGTGTGTGTGGATGTTTTCCAGAGATGGGTTGCAGCTGGAAGGGCATCCGCTGCATAAAAAACGTGCTGGATAAGTTTGGGGGTTCATTCCACTGTGGCAACCACTGATTAAAAAAAGGAATAAGCCGAAAAGAAAATGAGTGAATGAATATGAATATATATGAATATGACAGTTCTGTGAAGGAAGTTGTTTGCTGAAAAAAACAACACTCGTTGAGGCTTCTCAGAGCTTTAGCAAAGGGATCTGGGTTTTCTTAACCTGCAAAATTCAAAGGAAAGTTGAGCTGCCATTCTGATATCCCGCTAAATATGCTCTGAGACCACTCCGGGTAGTTAATTAATACTTTATGCTGATGGAAATTGAGTCCCTTTTTCTAGATGCTTATATTAAAGCAATATAAAAAAAAAACAAATCTGATCAGCACAGGAAGGTAATTTCTATCAGTGCCATAGGGATTGGTTTGACTCTGCTCCAATCAGTGAGCAAGTCCCAGCACACTGTTGCCAGGGACCCAACAGATGCTTTTATCTGATCATCCCTCATTATGGTGTGTGATGTGTGAATATATGTATGTGTATGTGTGCTTGTGAGGCAAACTGATAGATGTCGGCATTGTGTCTGGTTCCATACACAAAGTAATGGTGTTAATTAAAGGAACTTGCTGTGGCAAATGTTTGCACATGTGTAATTAATTCTGTAATTTTGACAGCATCAGAATGGGGTACTTTCAGATGTACCATACTTTGCTCTGGTTAATTGAGCTCAGAATAAACACATTGGATTATAGGCAACTAGTTGTCACCCACACAAACCTCAGAGGCACATTTGAGACGTGCAGTGTTTTGAAATATTGTAAATACTGCTGCGAGGCTTTTGTGAATATATTTTGACATGCAGCACTTGAAATGTTTGAGCCTGGAGTGTAACATGTGATTTTAAAGCTGCAGGTATGTTGTCTCAGTTTATACATAATTCACATGGGATGTAAAGCTGCACTTATTTAAATTATGTTCTTTTGGCTGCTGAAAAAGATTTTATTTTTATTATTAAGTCAAACTGCTTTGTTTTTCAACATTTTTACTTACTTACTTACTTGCTACTTGTTTTTTAACATGGCAAGCAATGCCGTTAACCCATATTTTCTAAATGAATGTCTCATGGGTTTGGATTTAATGGAGGTCACATAGGTCATGTTTCTAGTATTTATGAACCCTTCAGTGGATCCCATTAATAATTTGCACAACTAATAGATGGGTCAGTGACACTCATGTTTTAGTCTGGATCTATTCATTTGTTAAAATATATTAAAAATGCAGGTCATACAATGGCTTGAATATAGCACTTTTATGATAAGCATGTTTTAAAGTTTCAATTAAAATGATTAGAACAACAAATATCATAACTATTTCACTGCTTGGAAGAATTAGAAAAACCTTTGGCCAGTAGTCTGGAAAATATAGTTTTAAGAAAAGACTTGTTTAGTTATGATTGTAAAATGTGATGTGGTTTTACTATCCAAAAACATAATATTTAATATATAATAATAAAAAGATAATATATTAGGGCTGCGCAATATTGGGAAAATTTGGTAGTGCAATATTTTTTTACCCTGCAATATATATTGCGATATAAATTCATTTTCACCAGATGACTTAAATAGCTCTATTTGCAAAGGCTTTAAATTGATTGGGATGATTTTGTATGGGAGTGAAATATAAATATATTTCATGTCATTAATTATTTACATGTAATATATAAACTACAGTCATAAAAAGCACACAATAAAAACCACAAATATTAAAGTGAAATAAACTGTGCTTCATGGGTTTTTCTGGAGAGTCTAAGAGTATAGGGTACAGTATTTGAATAATAATTTTAATTTAATAAGTCTGAATTGTATAAATAATTCAATAAGATGTATCTTCATTAAACTATGTTCTTTTAAAATGCTTTAAACCTTTAAAATGCTCACATTGGCCTTAAAAACACATAAAATGTTAAACTTTCACTCTATAATTGTTAGATTATGCAGTGCCTCCACACATATCATGTGTTTTGACCAGTGGATTCTGGTTAAACTAATCCCAACTCAACATTGCATATCTTGTCATGTGACTATTGTTGATTCACACATTGCAATATCGATGCTCAAACTATATATTGTGCAGCCCTAATATAAATAAATGTATTATTTGCTTTTCTTTGATTAATACATACCAGTTCTAATTTAAACACAACAGCATTTCACAACTGATTTTAAACAACCCAATTTGTTATAAAAAATTATTATATTAAAATGGTCAATATTTTAGCATATATACATAAAAACACACAGATTTATAGTTTTCATTTAAAATACTGTCAGTCGATCAATCAGTCAAGCAAGCAAACAATAAATGTCATGTGGTAATCAGGACTTTGTTAATCAAGGTACATTTTTATTACAAATTTTGCTGGTAATTTCTGACAGCACATGATTTTACCACTGATTTTGATTACTGTAGTTTTTCAGTTCGCAGAGCAGAAATAAAACCTCTCTCTAACAACATTCATTGACTTTTTTGGTGTTCATATGTAAATTGTGTTGTAATTGCATATGTAAAAGTATATTTAGCTACATTAGACTAGAATATGAGGCAAAGCCCATATATACACCTTCCCTTCGCTCATAAAAATGCAGTGGACAAAAAACAAAGCATTAAAACACCAGCTATAATCAGGGATATGTCTTCCAAATGAATTAGTGATCAGATTGATAAAGATTAATAGTGTACATAAGGACAAAACCTCTTTTAAACAAACTTCCAGTTATTTGTAAGAAAACGACTAGATTTCACTGATGAAATTTGACCAAAAAAGTCCTAATAAAATCAAAGTCAATATTTTAGAGTGTAAACGATTATTGGAAAAGAATAAGAGTTAGACAAGCACCTTACTTTATGTATTGTTTGTTGATTTAAATTTTTGAGCCATTTTAGATTTTGAGAATGTTACACTGAAATAAATAAAGGTGAACTTTCAGGAGTCGATTCCAAAATAACAGAATTGGAATTGCCCGGCATAAGCAAATCACCAGAAAAAAAAAAACAAATAGTTTTCATTGGATGAATGAATTGTCATTTTGAATAAGGTCATTTAGATCGAAATTGTTTATTTCTTACTTAACTACCTCTGTTGTGTCCTGCAGGGGGAGCTGCTGAGCCCATGTCGCTGTAGTGGTTCTGTGCGCTGCACTCATGAGCCCTGTCTTATTAAATGGATTAGTGAGAGAGGATCCTGGAGCTGTGAACTCTGCTACTACAAATACCAGGTCATCGCCATTAGCACCAAGAACCCACTACAGGTAAACCACCATTAACTGGACTTTAAATGCATTACAGGTTTTAGTACTTAAACATGACACTATATGATACAGTTTTTCTCAATTGCTTTGGCTCAATTCTCCATATATATATATATATATATATATATATATATATATATTTTTTTTTTTTTTTTTTTTTTTTTTTTTAAACAAGTTTAGATTTCTGAACAATTAGCTTATTGTTCACTTTTTAGTGACATTTCTCATGATTTAAGCAAATTGCAAATGCTTTGGTGCATGTGTGCAAACAGTACGTACAATTTTCTGTACTTTGGACAAAAACTTATTGCATATGACTTGTTGACAAAATTGATGTGTTGATTCTCATTTAAACTGTCAAACTCTTCACAGCTTCTCAATCATTTTTCATCGTTTAAGCCAAGGGTCACTTACCCTGTTCCTGGAGAGCAACCGTTCTGCAGATTTCAGTTGCAACCCTGACCAAACAAATCTGTCTGTAATTATCAAGTGCTGCTTCAGGTCCGGCAACGCAGTGGCGCAGTAGGTAGTGCTGTCGCCTCACAGCAAGAAGGTCGCTAGTTCAAGCCTTGGCTGGGTCAGTTGGCATTTCTGTGTAGAGTTTACATGTTCTCCCTGCATTTGCATGGGTTTCCTTCGGGTGCTCCCCCAGATTAATAAAGGGACTAAGCCGAAAAGAAAATTAATAAATGCTTCAGGTCCTAATTAATTGATTCAGTTTTGTTGGATCTGAATTGTGCTAGAAGGTAGCTCTCCAGGAACAGGGTTGGTGACTCCTGGTGTAAGCCATCACACTCAAAACTGTTTATTTAATTTTTAAACATTTGTATACACACATGTTTACAGCAGAAATATCTGATACTGATATTGTTTGTAATTTCTGCTAAACTGGTAAATGACCTCTAGTTGCAATACATAGTGCGTTATCTATTTACTGTATTATCCATGGTACTATACTAAACATATAAGCTATTGCCCAAAGCACAATCACTACATTCACTATCTTGAACTACAGTAACATGCTTGTAGAAGAGCAACTGGAAGAAATGTAATCTCTGCGATATTTGATGTCCATTAAGAGTATTTTTTTTATGTATGATTGATGTTTGATGTTTATTGTGTGTGTTTGGGGTACCATAAGAAATATGAAATATACAATACGGTGATTAAGATTATTAGGATTTCACTTTGCATGCAATACATTTGTTCACATAAAATATACTGTATAAAAACAAATTGGGCAGTATTGGTCATGTGTATGAGGTGAGAGTTTTAAAGAAGGGCTATGTCCATTTTAGCAGATGAGAACCATCCACTTTATTCAAAGTTTTGCTTCCTGCCATCAGGCAGAAGGTACACTTATTCTAGATGGGCAAGGTCCAAGAGATATTTGCATTATTTTGTTCCAACTGCAGTTGGGTTACTTGCAGTTCTCAAAACTACCTGTTCAATCTTCACATCATTGTGTCACTTGTGCACATAAAAAAACAACAAGTTTTGAACAAGTACATCCATGCAAATGATTATGTGCAATTCTCTAATGTTTCCTACATCATCAACTGCTTATGTCATGCTGATCAAAATGTATTATTTTGGCCTCTGTTAAATAGTCTCACCCCTACAACATTTAATCATTTGTTCATGAAAAAGTCTTTACATGAAAAATGGCTGAACAAGTTGTTATAATATTTTGTCATAATGCATTTTTTCTAAACATTTCCATTTTTTTTTCTGAACCTGTCTACAATTTGCCAATTTCTCCCAGGTCAATCTTGATTTTTTTTATAATGAATGTGCATCTCAAAGGAGATTATTCTATGTTCTATGTTTACATCAGAACATCCCTTCAGAGTACACTATTGTATTGACAACAAGACCAGAGAAAAAATGTAACAAGCTTTAAGTTGTATATTTGTTTCTATTTTTTTTTTTAATTATGTTTAATTTTATTGTTTATTGCTACTTCTATGTTGTTTGAGTGTAACCTGTTGCTGTTAACTTTCGGCTGTTGCTGTGAACCTAATTGCCCTTTAGGGAAAATAAACACATTCTAATTCCAATATGGTGAAAAAACAGCTAATCATTCTAAGCAGTGTGGCTCACACAATGACAAATACACTTTGTTTTGGTGGCCTTGGCTACATAACTGACATGATAACTAGGTTTTGAAGCATGAATGAAGTGTTTTGGGGGAATAACTACATTTTGTAGACATGCAATAAAGTTCTGAAATTCCAGCAAACAGTTTTGTAATTTGGACTCACAGTTTAGAAAATGTTAAGTCTGTTTTAAAAAATGTGCCAAAGCAATTGAGAAAACTGTATGATGATTTTAAGTAAGTTTGGAAGTACAATCAACATATTAACTGTAACCTACACTCTCAGCCTCAGATGTCACAGCAAGCAAGTTCTCTGGCCGGTTGAAATACTGTATACAGGATTTGGCGCAGTGGGTTGCGCAGTGGGTAACATGTTCGCCTCACAGCAAAAAAGTCGCTGGTTTGAAACTCGGCTGGGTCAGTTAGCATTTCTGTGTGGAGTTTGCTTGTTCTTCCTGTGTTCGCGTGGGTTTCTTCCGGGTGCTCCGGTTTCCCACAAAGACATGTGTCCAAAGACATGTGGTACAGGTGAATTGGGCAAGCTAAAATTGACTGTGTGTGTGTGTGTGTGTGTGTGTGTGTGTGTGTGTGTGTGTGTGTGTGTGTGTGTGTGTGTGTAAGTTTCCCAGTGATGGGTTGGTGCTGGAAGGGCATCCACTGCAAAAAAAACCTATGCTGGATACAGTAAGTTCGCAGTTCATTCCGCTGTGGTGACCCCTGATTAATAGAGACCAAGCTTAAAAGAAAATGAATGGATTATAAGTTCAGTGTTTAGTGTAAAAAATAATTCTGATTAAATAAAAAAAAAAATCTCATGTAAAAATTGATGGCACTACTCATTCATAGGGAAATTTCTCTTTCTCTGTGATTCACAGTTTTTTTTTTTTTTATAAAACTATGAGTAGTCACATCAAATATTTCAATACTTATAATATATTTAAAAATGGTCCAGGAATTCAGCTCGAGTACACTTAAGTGAAATCTTAGCTGACCCATTTTAAAGGCTTGCTAAAATATCAAATTTTGCCAATTTTTAATTTTGCTATTTGCACCAGCCATCTTTGTTGTTGTGTTTAGGATTCCATTAAAACAGTGTGACATATTTACAACCCCGCAGACTGCACCACGGGGGTGACGGAAGGTTTGAAAACAGTACATCATCACTCAGCCTTATTCCTGGCTGAGAACTTTTTTTTTTGGCCTCAAATGAAGAACAAAAGAGAATTTTATTTGAAGCATACTGAGGCCTTTTGTCCTTAACTACTATGTACTTACATCAAAAATTAAATGCAATATACTTACTGTGTTTATAATGTATTTGAGAACACTTATGGTGCATTTGAGTTGGGATAGAGGTTGGGTTATGGACAGGTTTGGTGATATGGGTAGGTTTAAGGGTGGGTTAAGGTGTAAGGGATGGTCAACAGTGTATTTACAAATGTAATTACAAAAGTTAATTACAGATGTATATACATACATGTATTTAATCAAGCATAAGTACACAGTAAATACATGTATTAGTACATGTAATAAGTACATTGTAACAAACTATTAGTTCCTGTGTAAGTACATATTAGTTAAGGCCACTTAATATAAAGTGGGACCATAATCAGAATATACAGAAGACAGTCAAATAGATAAAAAGGTATTTAAATTTAAGCACTGTAAGGGCACAACAGTTGAGCACTAAGTCCTGTTGTGTACATACTTTATTCAAATAAATGTTTACATATAAATACATAAAAATGGCCAGACTGGCTAATTGAAATTAGACACTTTTATCCAAGATGGCATTACATGAGTTTCATCAGTTCTTGATTTCTCTGGGACTCAAACCCATGTCCTTGGCATTGCTACCGCTGTCCTTTACTGTTTGAGCAACAGGAAGGCTCAAAACCATGGGCATTAATAAGGCATCAGTCCTCCCTTCCACTAGCTGTGGGAACATGGCTGCAGGGAACATTGCTCTCATTCAGACATCAGAGCATCAGTGAGGTCAGACACTGTTTTTATACGATGGGGTCTGGCTCAGCATCATCCCAAAGGTGTTCAGTGAGTTATAGGTTGGCTTTTTATGAAGTCTAGCCAAGTTCCTCCACAACTGAGTTAGTAAATCATTTCTTTATAGATCCCACTTTGTGCAGAGTAATATTTTGTTGCAAAAGAAAAATGTACACTACATTTTTAGACATGACTGTATATGAGACTTTACAAAAACATGCATTAGCCGAATGTGCAAACTGGAGTACTGTGCACTGTGTACATGCAGTTGTACAATACCGTAACTGTTCCATTGTACCACCATAATACTAAAAGCAGTATTTTTTTCTTTTATATTGAGTTACCTCAAGTGCTTTTCTGGGTTCAAAACTTCTGCTTTCCCCAATTTTATTTTTAGCCTTTTTGATTTTCTTTTGATCTGATCTTCAAATGAAGCTATGTTTTTGTTTGTTTTAGTTGTTTTAAAATGCACAATAGGTCTCTCTATGGCCTTGTGTAGTCGATGCATGCAATTAAAGTTGTTGTTCTACTCAGTTGTGCTTTCTGTGGTTGATTTACTTATTGTTAGAGCTGTCATTCTACATCAAAATCCACTAGATGAACATTTATAGTATAGTGAAAAAAAGGAAAGAAAAAAAGAGGAGCAAGCGTATTTGAAACTATAGACACTAGACTGTTTTTCAAACCATATTCGCTGGATTGGCCTTTTAAACATGCAGTAAACCTGGAATTTCTTGAAATTTCCATTGCTTTGGCTTCTCAAAATATATTAATGATGTTACTTTAATGGTAACAACAGAATTCTTTTTATGTCACTCAAAAATATCATTTATTTCTACCCAAAAGATTCTAGTCCAGGGGTATCCAACCTTTATCCTTGAGGGCTGGTGTCATGCAGACTTTTCTTCCAACCCAAATAACAGGCACACCTGAAATCAGGCACACCTGAACCAGCTAATTAAGCTTTTTCAAAGTATACTAGAAACCTCCAGTAAGGTGTCTTGAAGGATGTTTGAGCTAAACTATGCAGAATCCCAGCCCTGCACATCCAATTTGCATGCTATCTCTTGATTTAATGGGCATTATCAGTGGTTATCAGCTGATAGATATGGACCAGTAGAGCCTTCTGTTCCTACTGGTAGGCTCAGAAGGCTCTTATCATCCATCCACATGGTTAATCAGCTTTAGATCACATATGGCTGTGGCCAGAAGTTCACAAGAACTATTTATTTTGCTAAATTTCTCATTCATTGTATTTTATTAATGTCACTACCCCAACCCTAAACCTAAAAGTCATAGTAATGTAAAAACAGATCTGGATATGCGGTCTTCTCTATTAGTATAGCTGATTAACCACAATAATTATTTATATCATTTATTAAATTTCCCATTGATAGTATTTTATTAACGTCTACCCCTACCCCAACTCTAGAATTGTAAAAACAGACCTGGATCTGGAGTCTTCTTTATTAGTATAGCTGATTAACTACGATAAATGTTTATGTTGTTAAACCCCATCTAGGGGTAAGGATGCAACATAAAAGGGAAGACTGCACACATAATGATGCTTAAGTAAATGTATAGAAATTTTATTTACAGAATGATTTTCTCAAACAAAATTTGTCTTTTTCAACTTCTGACCAGCTTTCAGGAGCTGACCAGGCCAAAATAAAAAACAAAACCATCTAAATTTAAATTCCCTCTAACTTCCCTATTTCCAGCAAATGAAAAGAAAGGAAAAAACTTTATTACCTAACTCCCTTGTCCACAAAAGCAATCAATAAAAGAGGGTACAAAAGAAAATGGTGCCAAGCTCCCTACTTACTATGTCCAAATATTTTAATTCAGTGAACAAATCAAAAAAGGGCAAAACATCAAAGTAGTCTGTTAACCAACAGGGGTCAGATTTTCAATGACAACGAAGCAAGAGCTAGTGCACTAAATACTGAGATCTTTTCTATTAGTATAGTTAATTAACCATGTGGATGGATGATAACAGCCGTCTGAACCTCCTAGTAGGTACAGAAAACCCCTACTGGCCTATATCTATTAGCTAATAACCACTGATAATGCCCATTCAATCAAGTGATTACATTTGAAGTTTGGGCATTCCTGTCTTGGTGCATCTTTAAATTAATACCATAAAATATCTGCCATTCAAATTTTAGGGTCAGTAAGAATTATTATTATTATTTTTAAGAATATCTTGTGCTCACTGAGGCTGCATTTATTCTAATATGATGCCTTAGTACTCAACAAACAATTTTTCAACAAAAATAGTTATGAATTTAAAAAAAAAAACAGTTAACCTTGTGTTTTTTCTTTGTGAACATATCTTCAATAAATACAAGGTCTCCACTATCAAACAATTTTTTTATATGTTTATATATAAAATAATAATACCATCTTGCTGAATAAATGCATCAGGTTTGGCAATATGTCAAATGTGGGACTGGTACTTCAGCAAGTTTATCTTTTTGTTTTGTTTTTTCCTCCTCCAGTGGCAGGCCATCTCTTTGACAGTGATAGAGAAAGTACAGATAGCTGCAGCCGTTCTGGGTTCCCTGTTCCTGATAGCCAGTATCTCCTGGCTGGTGTGGTCATCCCTCAGCCCATCGGCCAAGTGGCAACGGCAGGACCTGCTCTTTCAGATCTGTTACGCCATGTACGGCTTCATGGACCTGGTGTGCATCGGTAGGTCCTTGGATATTCAGTAAATACTGCAGTTTACTTTTTACATGTTTGATTCTTTACCTATTTGAGTGTCAGACAGAAAAAAAATACATTGTGACTAAACCAGCTGAATGTATGACATATATACCATTGAATTACAAGCCCACTTTCACCTTAAAACACAGTAAAGCGAGCAACTAAATGAGCTACTGTAGCAGATCTGAGCAGAAGATTGTGTTTTTCAGCCAAGCCACAGGGAGTCAGAGTAATTGCTGCATTTCACTTAATATCAAGCATTTTAATGTATCTACTGAATAAAACACTTTGCAATAGAAAAGGAAAGGCTGAAGGATTGAGAACTGGAAATTGATTCCTGCCTAGATGCGATTCAAATTCAAATTGGCCACAGTTGACTGGCTGTCAAACCTAAAATTTTTACTAATCCTTAAACCATGAGCTGTTTTAAAAACATCCGATATAAAATATCAGAATATTAAAAAATTTGAAATTAAACTAGCTAACCTAAACTTGGGTTATATTAAGAATGAAATCTAGCTTACAGAACACCACAACTTTTTTTTTTTTTAATTGCATGTGAAATGGAACACATTATGAAATGAAAACTATTGAAGTCACACTTTTTATACAGACAAATGTCCCAGAAATATATCAAAAGTGATTAATGTGAGTGGGTGGTTGCCACTTACAGCTGAGCTCCTTTTGTTGTTTGTTAAGATTTTCTAATTGGTAAACCTAAAAACATTCCAATGAAATTTTAAACATTACGAGTTAGGGCTTTAATAGAAGCCCATACTGTACAGCCTGTCTTGAAAGGTTTATGCGGAATCGTTAAAAAAATCTATTTCTCAATTGAGAAAATTAATGGACTTTTGACTTGCAGACCATTTTAAGTGCCCACTGTTGCTTTCTGTTCCAAATGGTACTTTCAATACTTGCTCAATCTCATTTGGAAGAACCTTTCAACTGAACTATTTTACAAAGGGCACTTTTTCAAGGCTATTAAAGTGTACAGTCAATCAGCACTTCAATGAAGTAATTGTGCAGTTTTGTTTGTCATTTATATGATTTTGGATTTTAAAATGCTCAGTTGTTCTCATGTGCCTAAGGACTGTTGGAGAGAAAGAAAATTAAAGCAGTACTATATAAAAAAAAATTAACCTTGAAACTTTGATCTTCTCATGAAAACTTTCTGCCTAATTCACATACATGAGATTGTTCTTCTGTTAGTTTTTCTGTTAGTGGATTTGAATTGTTCTCATGGAGCATCCTAGGAAGCAAGGGAGCAAAATAATCTTGTTTTTCATTTTGACATAAGATTATATTACACCATTGGCAGATTATTTAGCTTGTTTTAAAGGGCACCTAGGTAAGCTTTTTTTCAGATTTAATATGAGTCTTTTGTGTCTCCAGAATGTGTCTGTGAACTTTCAGCTTAAAACACCCATCAGATTTGTTTTTTATTGTACCTTTAGATTCTACTTTATACATTTTTGCACTGGGTGGCGGTTTTGCTGTACAGCGCCTTTAAGACTAGTCCACCGTTTCTACATGGCTTTCTGCGTGCCTTATTCTCCTCCCTCGGCTGCATCAGACAACAAACAGACATAAAGGAAGCAGATGTCACGTAGAGTTTGTGAGAAATATTACAGTAAGAACATTAACAATGAGTATTTGATGCAATTGCTGTGTTAAGTTACAACGAGTCGCACACAATGTCGTTACAAAGTTCACGCGCACACACACACAGACAAACACACAGATACCCAGCATGAACACGATACGCACATTTACAGACTGCGCTCATTTAGCTTTTTCTACTCTTTTTGCACGCAAATGTGACCGGATACAGGTTAATCTCCACTGCTGTATGGATATCTGTTATGTTCCCCTTCGGTTGGGGAACTTCAGTGCTATACAGTGGATTTGATCTTGGAAAATCCACATATGGGAGGATTCGGTTCAGAAGCCGCTTGTCTGGAAGAGTATTGAACGGGCCAATGAAGCAATGAATTGGCAGCATAAGCTTGCACAGGTGTGCTTCATTGATGAGGGTTCCTCCTGCTGTGATCCAGCAATTCCGAGCGAACGAGAGCATTCTCCTGGTCCAGAGTGTGTACACGCAGCGGCAGACGGTCGAGCTGGATTTCTCCCTTGCCTGGTGTTCTTTGGGTCCGGTCCTCCAGAGCGGTGCGCATAAAGTTGCAACTTCACAAAGAGAGCAACACAGTCGTGCAGCACGTCCTTTTCAGGACGGCGCTTTGACTGTGCGTTTCTGGATGTGGTGGTCTCCTGTCCTCGGATGATGGGCACGGGCACATCGTTGCATGCCTGGGGGGTCCAGCATGTTAATGCGCTGCTTGCGGGCAGTTCATGTCGTCATTGCGATGCCATGACTGTTGCGCTGTAAAGATCGCGGCTAGCCTTTGCAAAAGGGCGAACCACCCCAGTTGTCCCCTGCTCTGCAACGGGCACTCGGGCAGATCTGAGGGTTTCAGCGAGAGATAATCCGTCGCCCGCGGACCTCCCGCTCCTCCAAGCGCTCCATCCAAGCTTCGGGCGGGGTAAGCGATCCGTCTTACAGATGGTAGCCCTTACGCTCGATGACACCGGAGACCAGATGTCCACTGTGGCATAGGAGGGTGGGCTTTCATTGTCCGATGATGATCCAGGCCGTGAGTTGGAGATGGTTTATCCCCCAGCTCCGCGGCCGGACTGACTAGAGGGGCGTCCCCTTCTTCCCGGAGGTGCACAGCTCACGCGTTCTTGAAGTGTCCCTCCACCCTCACCACTCTTGACGGTGGAACGGCCAGGGGGTATGTGGCGATTCCTCAAGTTGAGTGCGCGATGGCGGTCAATCTGCGCGGCACCTCTAAATGGCGGGGTCTGCCTCGTCTCCCATCCAAATCCTGTAAGTTATCTGCCTACCTTGGAGCTAGAGCTTACAAGGCTGCGGGCCAGGCTGCTTCCGCCTTGCATGCGATAGCCACATATCAGTGCTACCAAGCGCAGGCGCTGGCTGAGCTGCATGAGGATGGGTCCTACCCAGGCGTATGAGCTTCGCACCGCAGCCGACTAAGCTCTTGGGACTACTAAGTCCGCTGCGTGTGCGTTGGAGAGGACGATGTCCACATTAGTGATTCAGGAGCGCCACTCCTGGCTGATATGTGCAAAGTCAACAAAGTCCGCTTTCTTGACTTCCCCATATCCCAAGCTGGCATGTTCAGTGACACCGTCTGTGTATTCAACCAGGAATTTGAGGTGGTGAGAGAGCAGTCTGATGGGTGATGTCTTATCGGCGGGTCTGTAAGCCCGCTCCGCCCGCCGTGCCATCCATACCTGCTCCTCGCCAAAGGCTCCCGCCCACGAGAGCTGCACCGCCCCCGCACATGCCTCTGGCGAAGGGAGCGCATCGAGAACCTCGGAAGCAGGCAGCCCTTCTCTCACCTACAGCTCTTCCGTGGGACCCGCGCGCTTCCCAGATCAGCACACCCACTCCGCGCTGCCCCACTGCTGGTACGTCAGCGATTGTAGTGATGAGTCCATTAGCGAGAGCTCTGCCTGCCTGGTTAGCGCGGGCCAGCTCTTCGCGGTGGCTCATACGCAGAATCAGACTTGGCTATGCAATTCAGTTTGCGAAACGGCCCCCCAAGTCACAGGTGTGTATTCACCAGGGTCAGCTCCCTTTCTGCCGCTGTCTTGCGAGAGGAGATTGCTGTCCTCCTGGCGGAGGATGCAATCGAGCCGCTCCCTCCAGCCGAGATGGAGAGCGGGTTTTACAGCCCACACTTCATCGTGCCTAAAAAGAGCGGTGGGTCACGGCCAATCCTAGATCTGCGCGTTTTGAACCGCTGTCTGCACAAGCTGCCGTTCTGCAGCATTAGACCTGATGGACGCGTATTTCCATGTCTTCAATCTTCCTCGCCACCGTCAGTTCCTGCGGTTTGCGTTTGAAGGTCGAGCTTGGCAATACAAAGTCCTCCCCTTCGGGCTCTCTCTGTCTCTGCCGGTCCTCACCAAGCCCGCGAAGGGTGCATTAGCGCCCCTTCGGCTCGTGGGCATCCGCATACTCAATTATCTCGACGACTGGCTGATTTTTGCCCACTCTCGGAGCAATTGATTATGCACAGAGACAAAGTGCTCCGGCACTTCCACCTGTTGGGGTTTCAGGTCAACCGAGAAAAGAGCAAACTCGCCCCCATGCAGAGGATCTCTTCTCTCGGGCTGGAGCTGGACTCGGTCACCATGGCAGCGCGCCTCTCCGGAGAGCGCGCTCAGCTGATGCTGTACAGTCTGAGAGAGCTTGACAGTAAAATAGTGGTCCCACTGAAACTATTTCAGAGGCTCCTGGGGCATATGGCATCCGCAGCCGCTTCACGCCACTCGGATTACTCTATATGAGACCACTTCAGCACTGGCTTCACAATCGAGTCCCCAGACGCGCATGGCACGCGCGCGCACACCGAGTCTCTGTTACTGCTCTGTGTCTCAGCGTCCTCAGCCCTTGGAGCGACCCCTCGTTCCTACAGGCCTGAGTGCCTCTAGGACAGGTGTCCAGTCTTGTTGTCGTTTCAACAGACACTTCCAACACGGGCTGGGGGGCTGTGCGTTGCGGGCATGCGGCTGCGGACCTGTAGAAAGGTACCCAGAGCTGTTGACAGTGTTCCTCGTTCTCCACCGTTTTTTTCCGGTGCTGGAGCGGCAACACGTGCTGGTCAGGCCGGACAGTACGGCGGCGGCGTATATCAACCGTATGGGGGGTGTGCGCTCTCGCCGCATGTCTCAGCTCGCCCGCCGTCTGCTCATCTGGAGTCATCCACGGCTGAAATCGCTGCACGCCATTCATATTCAGGTAAGCTCAACCGTGCAGCCGATACGCTCTCACGGCAGCCTTACGTCCTGGAGAATGGAGACTCCACCCGGAGTCTGTTCAGCTGATATGGGCGCGATATGCACTGGCTTACAGCTGGCCTCGGGGCATGCGCAAATACGCGTTTCCCCCA